TTCCCTTCCCTTCCCGCACCTTCCCTTCCCGCACCTTCCCTTCCCGCACCTTCCCTTCCCGCACCTTCCCGCACCTTCCCTTCCCCTCCCTAATGTTAATTTTTTTTTACACAACTTGAGAGCATGAGTTTTCATGAAGACTAGCTCCCCTTGAAAAGACAAAACTATCTAGTAGCATTACTAGTGTGACTTTTTCTTCACGCTATTCAAGGAGACCTGATTTCATTCTTAATACTGAATCAAGGACAAGATTCCCAAATGTATGTAGTATCAATTATACCAATGAAGGGGAGTTTTCATATGCAAGAATCAGTAATTTGAGCGATGCTGTAGGAGTTGCATGAAGGCACAAGTGGAGCAGTCTCTTAAATACAAGGCCAGACTCTTAAGCACCAATTTATGCATACCAATTTACTTTGAAAAAATCTTGTCTGTACTCAAGGATTTTATCAACCAGAAGCCAAATTCGCAACTCTCATTTCAAACTGCACTGTGTGGGGTATAAATGATGAGCTAGCAAAAGCGAGCTTTTGTTGTCTCACTACAAAGTGAAAAAAGCTTCCATGAAAAAGAAAGTTTTCAATAACTTGTCTTGAACTGGGTTCAGTTCTCATCTTTCTTAATGTTGGAGTAACGTAACAGTATTGTTATGTGTGCAGTAACTCAGCTTCTTCTGAAGGAGCCACCTATACAGCACTGCATTAACTTCGAAAGATTAAACAGAGGTGTGACAGAAATGTCCTTGTTTCCAAATCAGCAAAACAGGAAAACTTGATTAACTACTTTTATTAGTGACCTTAATCATGCAGAGTCCACAGAGAGGTGGAGCACAAGATGGCTGAGAAACTGAGACCCAAGCTGGGCCTTCCTGAAAGAATAGTGGGGAAAGGGAAGGTGGTGGGCATGGGATGGGGAGGCACTGCTTCTGTCTCCAGCTAGTAAGCTATGAAGAAAACAATGTCAGACTCATTTCAGCATCATGCAGCAAGACAATGGTCAGTGTTCTTACAACAAGAGAAATTCTCCACGGTGAAGTTAGTTTAAGACTGAAACACGTTGCCCAGCCTTCCCAAAGTCCTGAGCACACCATGCTGTAAACAGGGACATGGACTTTCAGATTCCCCTTTTAAACAACAAGTCTGAAATTCTAAATGGACCTGTTGCTACACAAGATTGTGTGACTGACAGCAGCAGGCATTTCAGATAGTAATATAGCTGCAAGTTTGTTGATATAGACTGGGAGATGCTGCAGTCACCGTGAAGCACAGTAAAAGTTCTTTTTGGACATCCACTAATGATGCTAATCCACTAGTGACAGAGCTCCTTAAGAGCACAGGTACGTGCCACTACCAAGTAGATAAAGGAACGAAAGCATGACATTAATGTAGAAATTTTGAAAAGCATACTTGCTCAGACATGCTCTTTGTCAGAGTGTCAGGCTATCGCTGCCTTCAGATGTGCCTTCAGTAGGAAGGTTCTAATTATATCACCACAACATATGCAATGCATGTAGTTCTGGGGGCTTATCAAACAGAAACTGAAATTACGAAACTGAAACTGTGAAAACAGAAGTGAGCAAATGGTTTTTATGGTTTGCTTTGTTTTCCATCCAACCCTTCAGCAAAAGTCACTACTTAGCAGTATTTCCAGATAGAGGTTGGAAAAAATGCAGCTTCTGTACCCTTAATGCCTATCAAGGAAACAATATAATTTAACTTACCCATCACATAAAGGACTAAAATCCAACTTGTGTCTAAATTTCATGAAACATTTTCCTATGAGGCTTCACGGTGCCAGGAAAAAACCCAACAAACTATTAAGTTTCATAAAAGTTGTTTGGCCATCTATTTTTCCCTCCTCGAAATAGGTTCTTTAAAGTCCACAAAAGTATCATATTTAATATCAATCTGTATCCCTTGCCTCTATTAAAAGCTTTCCAACACAACTCAGCACTTAACACTTTAGTAATTCATAACAGGTGCAATCACTCTTCTCAATGTTACATGTCTGCAAAGCCCAGTTGAACAAAACATTTATCAGCAAAACTTCAACAGCTGTGTTTAGTGTTACAATCCATCACGTCTTTAACATACACTATTTCCAAGAACATAAGGGGTAATTTTTTTACAACTGAAAGGAAGATTGTGCTCAATTATTTGTCTACCTTTTACTCAAATTGATGCATACAAATTTGGTACCCAGTGACATACAAACTGCAAGAATTAAGCAATGCTACCTTTAATCAAATTAAACCTTAATTAATCAAATTAATACCTTTAATCAAATTACTGTATTTGTGCTTTTTGTATATAGGTTGAAAACTGCCCTGCATTATTTGAATCAGTTGACAGATACTGATTTTTATTATTGTTTTAAGTGAAAACAAATTGTACATTTTCCGGAAGAAATACTGCAATCTGCATTGATCCATGATATCATTAAATGATTCATGGCTTTGCTATAGATTCCCTAAATAATTGCAGCAAAATGTAAACTCCGTGGGGAAATCAATATGATCTTTAAAGGATGTCCTCTGTCTTCCCACAATACAGGTAGCGCTCCACTTTCACTCCTTATAACCAAGGTTTCACTTTTGAGCTCGCAGCATGGTTTGAGATAACACCTTGTTAACATTCATGATTAATGATGAGTTATATCTCCACAGTGTTGTATCCCTGATGAGAGATTCTCTGGGAAGGTCGCTTTGAAGGGCCTTCCGACAGTGATAAATGAGGGCAACATCCATGGGAACATTCGCACTGTTCCCATAAGAACGTAGGACAGAATGGACTGAAGTCTGAATCACCTTTCGTGGATCAACTATCATTTTCCTGGGATTGATTACATCTTTCCTGTCAGGCTCTCTGTATACATGCTGTAGTATGTTAACACCTGGCACAGTATTCCAAGATGAAATATTGAACATACGAGATGATATGGTTTCTGGGAAGATATGGTTCTCAAAGAGGAAAACGCTAGTCCCTGGGTTTTGTTCCTGAAGACTGTTCATCATTGTTTTCCAGTTTGGGTGTTTAAGGGGAAGAATTATTTCATCAGCATCATTAAGGACCACAAACTTGCTCCTTTCCATGTTACGGTATATACAGTCATTCAGAGCTGTAATTTGTCCATAGTAGCCGATGTGTGTTCCATCTTCCATGAAGTGCCATTCAGAAGAAACCCTGAGGTGTGAGTTTATTGGCCAGGGAATTATCTCAACAGTTCCTTCTTCTATATAGAACTTCAAGACTTTCTCCATCAGATGGCTGCAGTTGTTCTTATAGATCACCACTTTCTGTACTCCAAGAATCTTGTACATTTCCATACTCTGTATAAACTGCAAGACATTGTTGTAGTTTCCAAACATGGCAGAAATGCACACAGTGAAGTCAACAGAAAAGGTCTCAGCCTTGCGGTTTTTAATTTCAAACCTTGGCAGCTGGTTGATATTTCCATGTGGAGACTGATTAATTGATACATGTGTTGGATCACAGTTTTCAGGTTCCAAACAAATTATATCTGCTGCACCATAAGGGAATCCAAATCTATCAGAATGAACATCAATTTTTGCTTTTGATACATATATCTTTCCATTGGGCTGACAGCAGAACCAGCAGTACAGTTCTTTTACATCTTCATGGTGAACAATCCCAATCAGACGAGTGACTTTGCTTTCTCTGTCATCAAAGTATGGGGATATAATAAAAGTTTTGTTATCTTTTAATGCTGTTATTGTGCTATTGGCAATTTTCCCTCTACATCTTCTGCCTTCTTGAATTACTTTTGGCTGATGGGAAAGTCCCTGTAACCTCAGATAAGAAACTGCAAGCATTGAAGTTAAAGTAATAATGCACACAGCAGCAGCAAAGTAAGTTTTTTTCCCAGCATACAACATTATGTATGTATCTAAATGTGCATGTAAATTTCTTTGTCCTTGTACTTTATGCTGCCGCATCTGCAGAAAAGAAAAGACATTGTATGACATGATAATACTGACCCATCATCATCGCTCAAGAATTTCACAATTCAAAGAATTGTGAAAGAATTTCACAAAACAAGCTGGCAGCAAGTCTCTATCATGGTGCACTGACTTACTCAGAGACTGTGCTTTTATGAAAAATCAGTCACAGAATACACCTTTAATGATACGTAGGATGCTGTATGTGACAGTCCTCTATTTGTCAGATGTGTGGAGCAGTTTCCGTACAGTGGAGGGTTCTGCAGAATAACATAAGAGATCTATATATAGCAATACAAGGAGTATTTTTTTTTTTAATAATCTAAATTTTAGAATATCCAATTTAATAACTAGACAGTAATTCTTAAAGCAAAGCTTTTCTTTTTCTCCACCTACACAGTGTGTATGTAAATTATATTTAAAAAAAAACAAACTCAACCAGACTTCTCACAGACAAGCTAGAGACAGATAAATTAAAAGTATATAGAATTAATCAAGTTCATAATAAACATGCTATGTGGGGATTACATACAATGGTCCAGATATTATCACTAATTTATGAGTTACCTAACTTGCAGACCACCACAAATGAGACCATACACACAGAGCAAAGTCAGTTCATACAATCCAGCAGAAGGCAGGTGAAATCTATGCAGGTATAAAACTCAGTCTCAATTAGCCGCTCTACCATGTACGTAGCCATGTACATGGCAGGAGTTACAGGAAAGGTTATCTCATATTAATGCTTATGAGAGATCTGGGCCTCCTCACACTGCATTAATGCTGGCTCAGCTCCTGGCACGATTTGGGGGTTACGGCTTAAAACTCCTGCTGCTGCAGGAACAGGTAGGCAGTCCCAAGTGCCTGGATGACTGAAGTCTTCAGCAGCACTTGTGCCCCAAGTGTTAATGCCTGAGTGGGTGGAATTTATGGCACTCTGAAGCACTCATTTCTACAAGTGGAACCTAGACGAAAGTTTTCTCTACAAATTCATCTTTAGGTATTCAGGTATGATCCATAAACAGAAAAGTGACAGCAAGTCTCCTCAAATGCCTGCTTGTACCACAGAGATTCTTGGGGAAAAAGTGTCCCAGATTAATCAGATTCACATCAGAAAACTGGATCAGAAAACTGGATTGGTAGAAGAGAGTTTCCCCAACTGCCAGCAGGAAGCGTGAAGTAAAATGCCAGCATGGAATGAACTGATGTTATTGCACAAGATGACGAAAATGTTTCTAGCAGGCGAAAAATAATTACCTATGCCTTCAAAATAATGTACAATATTTTCACAATTGCTCTTTCATGAAAAAGTGAATTAGGGAGAACCACAGTCACAATACACCCCTGAGAATGTCCCATATGCCAAGGCTGATGTGATTTACAGTAGCCTTTGATAGCTCCCAATAACTTTTTTTTCAGACAAGAGTCATAGGGGCACCAAAAATCTCACTACATCACACTAGGCACAAAGCAGAAAAGGAGTAGCAGAAATCACTGACTCTTCTATCTCTGAATATGGAGAGTCCTCCCCATAAATCCTTAAAATTGAGAGCAGAACTTCAAATACATAGTAAGAGTCTGCTATTGCCATACAACTTCCCACTGGAGATTTGTGACTGAAAACAACTCAAACATTTTAAGTCTTTTTATGAAATGTTCTAAAGTACAGTTTTCCCCCAAGCATTCTTATTCCAAGGATGTTATATATTATAGCATTCTTAAAACATAGAGGAGGTCGCATTTAGCATTCTTACCCTTGGTTTTACCTACAGTTAAAATATTGTTCTGTCTTACAGAATAAATATTTTTTAATTAAAGAAACATGAAACAGTAAATAACAAACTAAATTTATTACCTGTTATTTCTTCTACTTTTGCTAGCAATAAATAACTAACAAGAAAAAAAAATATATCTTTTCAACTGTGTTTTGAACAGCAAACACTGGAAAGGAAAAGGTACCTTTTAAAGCAGATAGCCGAGTGAAGTTCTGTTCAGTCCTCCGTTCACTTTTAAGTTATTTTGCTAAAATAATCTACTAATTGTTTATTTTAAACAGATAAAAACTTAAATACCTTTAAGGTAAATTGCAATAATTGTTCAATACAGAACAATACTGAGAGAAAAAAAAAACTGGTACAATACCTAAGACCCTTCCTGGCACATTTTATTTCACACAGCTGCTGCTCTTTAATGTCAGTAACAGCAGCCACACCTACCAGAAAAACAAGTTCTCCTTCTCTTGAGCAAAGCACACAGTTGTGTTGCAAGAACTTAATTACAATTACAAGTATGTAAGTGAGTATGGAGTTGTTGAAGCAAATCAAACATTTTTCATCAATTTTTTTAAGGCTACTTAAATTTTCTTCTGAAAATTAATCTTGCATGTTGATACAAATCGAGTTCTCACACATACTTAAAAGGAATTAGAAAAATACACTATATATATACATATCTATATATATGTCTATCTATCTATCTATCTATATATATATATCTGTATTTCTTGGACAAACATTTTTATCATAAAATGCTATAGGCCTAGTTAGAACATGTAGATACAGATTCTGATTAGGAACTGTGTAAGAGTGCTGAAACAACAGCAAGTTCTAGAAGCCAAGAAAAAGCAAAATCAAGAGCTCAAAGACACATCAGAACACCGAATCTTAAAGAAATTAAATATGTAATTATTTGACAAGTGTAATTCATGGTTTCCCCAATACAACTCATAAATTTTGCACTCCTGAAATAAACAGTACAAATATGTAGTCATAAAATACATAAAGTGTAATTAAGAACACTACATTTCTATTTCCTCACTACAGGGAGGGTAAAAGGGCAAGTTTTAACTTTAAAAGTATGTGTTCAGTATATTTAGATGAGTCTCTTTTATAGTAACAATATATTTCAATCTTGCATTTTTTAATTCCAATTAATATGCAACTAACCATGACACAAATTATGCACATTTGCTTTAACACTAAATTTAGCTAATGGTATCAATGGCTACTTTGCAGTATTCTCCTTAACTGTAAACAGGCTTTCTTCCTTCCCACCACCCTGATAGACTACAGTAATATCACCTCCTCGTCTTCATATTCATTACCTTTCTTTCAACAAAACAGTTGAATGCAAGGTAAAACCATGTCATGAGAAACAATCTTCCTTCAGCAATCATTTCTGTGCAGTTGGCCCAGTTTCCATTACTCTCTAGTACAGGAGACTAGAAATGTCTGTACCTTATCCACTTGTATGTGGCAACTAACAAGCCCTCACTGTTGTAAATTTTCTTTCCTAATGCATGCTAGGATATTTTTTGGAGATGCAACATATTGCACAGATACATCTGAGCTTGTCATCAGCCAACAATTAATATATCTGCCCAATCAACCAAGCAAGTGCAGTTACACAATGTGTTTTCTTCTGCAGCAAGGTCATAATAAAGAGCTCTTGACACGGTTAGAATCATGGAATGGCTTGGGTTGGACAGAGCTTTTAAATATCATCTGGTTCAAATCCCCTTGCTGTAGGTGAGACATCTCTCACTCAATTGAGCTGCTCAAATTAATCGTGTTTCTCCTTATTTCATTGGTCACAGTCCTAAAATTTACTCTAAAACCTTGTATGGGACCAAGAATGCACCTACAAACTTTCATCTATCTAAATCTTCTTTTTTTCCCCATCCTAAACCAAGGAATCACTCATGCTGAAGCCACATTGTACCACTACACTCACAACAGATTTATTAATCTCCCGTTATAGGTTCTTCCAATAGCTTGTCTTTTTAGAATTTTGAAATGGAGTTTTTTTTAATCACCTTCAAATTGGATGTTGTTTACACCTTTGCTGTCTAGCTTCTATTTTCAGATCTTCTTTTCCAACATCTTTCGAAAACCCCCCACAACTAGCACTGTTCTTACCAAAAGGTGGTATCAATTGCTAATTTAGTTCAAGAGTCATTCCTGAGTAATAATTAATCTCCCTCACATACTCTCTGCATTGTGGCCTTCCTTTGTAATTTATTTTGTTTGCACGGAGACAGCTGAAGGCTTTTTATGTTGCTCATTTCAGTATCTTGACAATGTCTACATTGCATTAAGATTTTCATAACTCTCATCTTATTACTTTTATCTCCCAGTCTAGGGTAAGGATAAAGAGCAACTGACAAGAGGTGAGTGCCGAGTTTCAGTTGCTAATATGTATTAGCTTCAGCAGTATAAGAACAATAAACAACCTAATCCTTGCTTATCCAGGGTCTAACTAAAAACCACCCACTGAAAACACAGCCTTACAGAACTTACAATTTTTGAAAAAAGTTATTCTCTATCCTTTTGTTTATGATTTTTTGTCAAAAGCAAAACCACAGATCACTAGTGCCTAAATAAGAATTACAAATATTAACAATCATTTACCATCTTTATCTCAGTTGCCTGTTGCCAGTCTCTTGATAGCTTCCTTTTTTCAGAAAGGTTCTTTGGATCTTATAAGAGAGGAAGGACACTAGTATGTCAAAGTCAGAATCACATTGTTTGAAGGATCAAACTGAAGGCAGTATTTTTCCACTAATAAAGTACTACTCTAAAAAATTCAAACTGTCTGTTTCTATTCTAAATACAAAGACACTCAGCTAGAACAATATATAGTGTTGTCATACAACACTATATACAGTCATTATACAGTTGTTTTACTTATTTTGTGCCATTAGAACTGACAAACCCCACACTTCCCTCTATACACTCAGAAACGTCTCCATTAACAATGTGCTGTACATCCCTAAGACAAACTCCTCCTATTGTAAACACTTAAACTTCATGTCTTTTGAAAAATCAAACAGATCGGGCAAAATAAAAACTGTGTGACATTTAAAAGACTGTTATTTCAACTTTTTTTCTTTCACACTCTACTTTTTTAGCTGGGACTGAGTTAATTTTCTTCCTAGCAGGGTGTTGTGTTTTGTGACCAAAGCAAGTGCTTCAAACACACCAATGTTTAGCTATCACTGAACAGTACTTACGCAGAGTCAAGGCCATCTCTTGTTTCTCCTGTGGCTCCCATCCCAGGAGTTGCATGGCACAAGAAGTTTGCATGGAACAAAGCTGGGACTGCTGAACCAAACCACCCAACATCATAGGATGCCATGGTCAGCCATCTAAGCTGGGGGAAGGAGGAAAGGGGGAAACACGCAACTTGACAGCATATGGCTTCCCAAATCACTGCTAAACCTGATGAAGTCCTGATTCCCTGGAAATGGCTAGAAACGTGCTGGCTAAAGGGACATGATGAATAGATTACACATTCTGTTTTCTATGCAGCTTTGCTTTACCTTTTAAAGTGTCTTTATCTCAGGCAAAGCCCAGAGGAAAACCCATGCTTGCCTGTCTGGTTCTATCCCCACCTCCACTGCAAGAGCAAGAGTGAGGGCTGAGCTGCCTTCCAGGATTAAGCCACAACACACAGCGGAACTATGCTTTGGAGAGCTTTTGCATTCTTCAAATCTAAACTCCACCCTTAGTAGGTATTCAGACAGAGATTCAGAAAAACGTGGCTTTGATAATTAATACATACCTTTAACTTACCGTTAGGTGGTTAACCCCCCTACTTAAAAATAATGCTACAGCTGATCACCATACTCCTATTTCTTGTGTGGAAATGAAATCCCGAATCTGTCGCGCTTCTCCTGTAAGCACTGCCAGTTACAGGCTCCGGAGCAGGTGCCGCTGCCTGACCACTACGCTCCCCGCTTACCACGCTTGCACACAGCCGGCAGCGCGCCCCGTCCCGCGGCACCCGCCCTTCCCCGCCGCCAAAGCTGTGCGAAGCTGAGCCGGCGCTACCGGAATCCTCGCGCCTCGTAGCTGGCTCTCCCTGCGGTACCGACAGCAGCAAACGCAACACGCCCCTGCGGCCCGGGGCCGGCGGGAGCGCCCGGTCCCCTCACGTCCCGCCCGGGCAGGCGGCGGCGGCTTTGGCCGCAGAGACGCCGCGGAGCCCTGGCCCGGCTGCAGTACCTCAGGAAGAGCCCCCGCCCGGCGCGGTCCGGGTGGAGCCCTCGGCGCTCGGGGCGGCTGCTCGTCGCTTCGAGCCTTGGCGGTGCCTCGGCTGTGCACGCCATCGGCCCCGGCTGTCGGCGAGCGGCCCCGAGGGTCTCGTCCGGAGAGCGACGGGGAGTCGGTCGCGGACGAAGGGAAGCCCGGGCGGGCCGCAGCCTTCCACCGCCCCTCTGGCCTCTCCCGCCTCTTTTCCAGGCTCCCCGAGGCATCGGCCGGGGACACCCCATCTAAGACCGCGAATGGACGCTAACGCGTCCGTGCCGGCTGAGCATTTTGGGAAGCAGGGCCTGCCCATCCCGCCGCAGATCCGGACGCCAGCGGCTCTAGAGCGCTGATAACCCGGGTTTCACATGCTGTGCTCCGGGGAAACGCTCCCACACAGCCTGGAAATGATCGGCAGAGACGGCACAAGTTGAAAAGAAGGACCTCAGCAGTGGTACACTGTTCTCGAAGAGGTCTCCGGATTCGACCCTGACTGTCAAATTAACTTGTGTGACAAGGAGAAACACAAGCTCTAGCATTATATTTTCAAAATGCAAGTCAATTAAAACAAAAAAGTACAGGGAAATTGATAATTACACAACGATAAAAATCCAGTAGTTAACTGGAGTCCAGTCTGCTTTTAGAGATAGACGTGATAGCTGAATCATTTCTACAATAAAATACAAGGTTGGCATTCGTAGGAGTCCTGTGGTGGGATTTTCTTTTCTAGTGCCAAAGGCCCTAAGTTACAGACCTTTGTTTCAATTATAGAGATCTCAGACACAGAGTGTCTTTATTTTCTAGTTTTGTGTTATTACAAAAAATGGAAACCATTTACTACAACTATCTTTCAGTGTTTCCAAGTGTTCCTGTGTGTTCCTTTGCATTCACAAATTACATTTTGTATTTTATTAAGACAGTAGTATCATTAACAAATTGTATGTAAAATAATTTAGCTAGATAGTTGTTTGCAGCTTTTATTCTGCAGAATTTGATGGACTTTTCTCTATATCTGTGCTAGAACAAATCTGTTTTCTGGCCTTCCTTGTTTGCTTTATGTTCAGTTACATCATGCTTGCAAACCCAAAACATGGATCATCTGAAGCAAGTAATCATTTGCAACACCAAATAATTCTCCCACCACAGTCTATTCTTCCTAAAACTTGATTTCTGGCAAAAAGAATATGGCTACAGGCAAAGTCTGTCAAAGAAATACAAAGGATACATCATCCAGTTCATGACTATGGGTACTTCTTATGGACCACTGTATTTTAGCTGATGCAAAATGGGTGTTTCCATCCTTTGTGATATAATTATCGGAGACGCCCTTACATCTGGGGTCTACTGAGACCTGTACACGTTGACTTTTTTTTTCTTTAAACACTCTCCAAGATATATTTTCTGAATTTGACTGACAGATCTTCAGAGTAATGGATCACAATTAACCATTAATTATTCCCGAAGAAAAACTAACACTGTGTGCTAGTGCCCTCCCTTGCACACCTAGCACTGCCTTGCAACCAGAGTAGGAACAAAGTTACTTAATATTTCATTTAGTTTTTTCTTTCCCAAGTTACAAGACAAGATGCTTGGACATAATGAGCATTTAATTAGCTCTTCAGTACTTTGGGTATTGTATGACAAAAGCACGTTACCTTATAATGAAATACAGCAATGCAGAAGATAGTCCTCTCTCCCCCCTGCAATTTGATTCCATAACAGTGTCAACCTGGGATATTGTGACTGTTAATTTTCCTTCCTAACATGCTCAATTTATTTTTTATCTTGCTACCTATGGAAAGGAGAAGAATTCTAGTCAATTTTCCCATTTTAACTGATGCTATTAGTGAAAATAACCATTTGATAGATATGAGAGACACTTAAAGAAGCTTTCTTTATAAAATATTTACAGTGAAACACTGGACATGACCCTGAGGGAAAATTGTATAGATCTGACTTACTTCCAAGACTGCTAAGTAATAAGCAAGTATTTAAACACTCTTCCTGTTTCTTGGGAATAACAGGAAAAGGAGTCAACTTCAGGAAAAGGATATATGCTTTCCTGTTCAGCTGCAGAAGTAACTTTTTTATATTAGCTTGCTTTGCTATCATCTTCACATCATTTTTCTCTCAGACAACTGTTCATGAAATGATGTTTCTGCAGAAATTAAAGGACCTTCATTGCCAGTGATAATCTGGACTTTACTTCCTTTGCATAGCAAATAAAATCATAGAATGGTTTAGTTGGATCATACAGTCCACCTCCCCTGCCATAAGCAGGGGCATCTTCAACCAGGTTGCTCAGAGGCCTGTCCTACCTGACCTTGAACACTTCCAGGGATGGGGCATCCACCACGGCTTCGGCCAACCCAGTGTTTCATTACCCTTACTGCAAAAAATTTCTTCCATATATCTAGTCTGAATCAACCTTCTTTTAATTTTAAACTATTGTCCCTTCCCCTATCACTGCAGGCCCTACTAAAAAATCTGTCCCCATCTTTCTTTTAAGTCCCCTTCAAGTACTGAAAGGTGGCAATAACACCTCATTGGCACATTTTCTTCTCCAGGGGAAACAATTCCATCTGTTTCAGCCTTTCTTCACAGCTGAGGTGCTTCAGCTGATTTTTTTTTGTGGCCCTTCTCTGGACTCACTGCAACAGGTTCACGTCTCTCCTATATCAAGGACTTGAGAGCTGGATGAAGCACTCCACATGAGGTCTCACAAGAGCTGAGTGGAAGGGCAGAATCACCTCTGCCACCTGCTGCCCTTTTGATGCAGCCCAGGACATGGCTGGCCTCTGAGCTGCCAGCACACATGGCCAGGACATGTCCAGCCTCTCATATACCAGCACCCCCAAGTCCTTCTCAGCAGAGTTGCTCTTATCTGTTCATTAGAATTATGTCAGCCCCATCAAGGTTGTCCAGGCCTAGTCTTCAGGTGTGGGAACTGCACCACTCAGTATGGTGTCATCTGCAAACCTGCTGAGCTAAATTTTAAGGGCAAAGAAATGTAAACTTTGCTCTACTTCTTTGGAATTTCCACATCTCACTAGAAAAAGCTGCAGATTTGGAGGCTTTTACAATTTTATCCTAGAAATGTTGATTCTGTTGTATTTATACTACTAAATGGCTAGACAGTATGCTCTATAAAGTCTGTTCAATTATATTACCATTCATTCACAAATGAAATATGCATGCTGCCTTTGAGCTAAAACATTCCTTCTGTATCTCTACTATTCTTTTTCAGAATATTTTATTGTCAACAGCATACATACCACCCTGCACATTTTTAAACTTACAACCAAATGCTATTACTGTTGTAGTAAACAAACTGTTTTTACATTAAAGTATTTAATTAGCAAAACAATCATTATTATCAATGTAACAAACTGAAAAATGCAGCAACTTGATACAAGACTGAGGTAACAAAATACTTTGCCAAAATCCTAGATTCCAATGCCAGAGTTCTTACAGGTGAGACAGTTCACAGGAATTATAGAAAGAATCCTTTACACAAATGGCATGCAGTGGACTGCTGGAAAACACAGCCAAAAATAGTGCAACAGTTTCCACACAAAACAAACCAAAATGTTGAAACTGATTAACATTATAATGTGACAAGTCAGTCTCAGTTTGAAAACTAGTTTCTTTGCCTCATTTTAGTGCTATTTGGAAAAACATGCATTTTGGCACTGAATTACATCAAGATTGCACATTTAATAAACTAATAATATTACCTACAATTATTGCATTGCCACAATTCTGAAAATAGTTATTATGACATGATGTTTACTTTTACATAACTATTGAAGTTGTTCTCTTTGATGGAGGAAAACTTGTATGGTTTGTGATATTTTTTGTGAAAATGCTATAATAATCAATAATGACAGGCAACATACTGTATTTCAAATAGTAGCTTTCAGTTAACCATAGAAGTACTAGAATGACATCATAACACCTCTAATCAGCAGCTACAAACTCCTTAATACTTAAAGACTAATTTTAAGTTGTTTTAAGATGTTTTACTAGTATTCTTTCACTGCCAGCAATCTGAATTTCTCAGTACTGTGCAGCAATTTCACAATTGTGCTATACTGAAAAGATCTTTAATCTCATTGATGACTAATCACAAAAATCCACAGGTGCAGAATAATTCAGACTAGATCATAGTCTGACAGTCTGAAGTCATTTAGTGGTGACAGGATGTTAACACATTCAAAAGCTTCTACACCATCTCTAATGGTGTTAGATGCTCTGCCCTTGCACATAACCATGTTTTTCCTAGTTCAAAGTCGTCTTAAATTAGCAAAAAAATAAAAACTATACAAATATACATTTTGCATTACCACTCTTCTCACACAGTTCCTCGGTTATCAAATAAACTTTGTCAACTTTACGTAGACTTTCCCATGTCCCAGGATCTAAATGCAGTTGTCATCAGGAACTGGTTTTCTTGAAAAGCTGGTATGTATTATGCTTTCAGGATTGTAACATGAGCTCTTAAAAGAACAAATAATTTACTTTTGACCTACATTTAACAACACAGGTATTTTTTTCTCCTTATTGTTAGAGAAGTTTCAAAATAAAAATGTAGAAAATCATGGAAATCCACAGAATACATACTGCTAATGCTAGCTTGTTCTAGTAGAGGTTCTGCTCACTTAAACTAACTTCTACCGTGTTCCTGGTTTGTAAGCTAGAGGCTCACTTGTTAATTTCTCCTCTATGCGATCTTAGGAAAGTCAGAAGAGGTTTTCTGGTGATTGATGAAGTCTGAATAATGATGCTATATGGCAAAAGAGTTTCAAACAGAAAAAGTGACAAATTTAACATATGAACAGAAAAAGATTCTGACTGTAGGAGTGCCAGGGCACAGCAGGAATACAACATAGAGAGTTCCTTCAGAGGGGAAGGCCCAGAAATACTTTTGTTTGTTCGTTTGTTTTCTGGATATTGATGTGGAGACTTCTTTGTACTTGCTCCACTGTTAGATAGTCTTTCACTGCCACCATGATTTTATAATAGCAGTACCATCTACCAGTACTTATGTCCTGAAGTTGTAACATATACTGGAATTGATTGGAGCCAAGTCGTCCACAGAAGGACAGAACAGAAACAATGATACGGAGCCAGGACCATGTGATATATAACACCTGATTACCTGCTTCCTTGTACTGAGGGATTTGAAATGAACAATGTTCAGACTGAACTGAAACACCAAATTTATAAGCAACTATGCCACTGGTAAAAGAATGAAAGACAAATTTCAGCACAACATAAATTTAAACAGCCTTAAATCCATTACCAGGGTACTCCTGAGCAAAATAACTGAATGAAAAAAAAAGACCAACTGTCCTATGCCAAAATACATTTTTTCCAAATAGCTCAAATATGAACAGCAGAATTGTCCAGAGATTTGATAGAAAATTTGAGGCAGCCACATTGCTAAGCAACTCAGTGCACCTACATTATAAAAATGTTGTTCCACAATTTTCTATTCTAACTGACACTTTGCAGCAAGTTAACACTGTCAATCATTCTGTGCATTAGAAAGAATTGAAACCCAACATGGGCCAAATATTCTTCAGTCACACAAAGCAGCTTAACAATAAAAAGAACCATTTAAAAAAGAATAGGCAGAAGATATGATGCTCAGTTTGTGGTCAAATATCAGTTCATGCAGTCTCTGACCACAAATAGGTGAGGGCTCTAGAATCCTGCAGGAGTCAGGATTAATCTTCTGTCCATCTAACTTGCCTGCTTTCACTCAGTGCATGAGACTTTATCTGGTCCTAGGGACAACATTCACTTTCTGCTTTTAAAAGCTGTGTCAGAATAACTTTCAAGTTACATAGGAAAGTGCTGAAATATCTGTGGCTGGCTCATATCAGGAAAACCATTCTCCTCTTCCTCCTTAGAGAATAATAACCTGTTTCATCAGTTTGGCACTTGAAGTCACACCAGGTAGGAGAGGAAATTACTCGAATGACATTAGATTAGCAGGTACCTGGAAGAGATTGCAAATTACTCATAGAATTATTACATTTGGGAAAGATATCTAAGATCATTGAGTCCCTCCTAGTATGGTTGATTTCATTTTCCATAAGACAGTCCCTTCTAAAGAAGAGATGAAGTTATCTTGCTTGAAGCAACTGAGATTAGAGGTTATATGATCTTAAGGCAACCAAACCAATAGCCACACTGGAATAAAACCTGATTTGATGGGATTTCTCTAATTTTAAATAATCTTTCTTTCTTTCTCTTATTGAAAAATGGGTCAGTGTACAGAATGAAGAATTATGTCTTTCCCCACAGGAATGTGTATGCACGCAGATTGAAAAAGGTACCTTTTCTAGTAAGGATTTTCTGGAAAATAGGAAAAAGTGTGTAGAAATATTTTTCACAATCTTACCTGAGGCTTGTTGCTTTTGCACGCATCATCCAAATGTTTATGCCATAATATTGCATGAAACCTTGAACCAGTCTGAAACTTGTAAACATTGCCTACAAAAATAAGAAAATGAATGACTCTGAATTTGCAGACAGACATATAGTTTCAAAGGATTTTGATTTCTGTGTAGAAGCCAAAGTCCTGAAGTAAACTCTTAAATTAATTTGCACCTCAAATGCTCAAACATAATGCTGCTAGTGTAACAGAGCCCATGTGAGGCATGTTGCCCAGCAATTCTTGGGTGAAACAAGTATGAGAACATATGTAGCCTCATAGGCAGAAAGGCCAAATTACAGCCAGAGAAAATACCATGTAGGTCGGTGTGGGGCAAGAAAACAAAGAACACTTACTAATAAGAGAACAAAGACCATTTGGTTACGAAGTACAAGGACTATTCATCAAGGCAGGAGAGATATAACAAAGTTTCTAAACCATAACAGGCATCAGAACCTCAGTAGTTTGCAGACAAGAATTGTTATACAAGCACTTGATTTAAAGAAAAAAGGCTGATGTGAATATTAGGAATGTGATCCCTTACATTATTGGTTAGCAGACGCATGAACAGTTAGACTATTGGCTATCCAGGCACGTGATACTCTAATCTGATAGTGAAAATATTATAAAAGCTATATACACTTTTAATAAATGTTTCTGGTTATACCACAACTGGAGACTGTGCATCATTCATACGCCGCAGGTCAGATCTAATTTAATCCTGGCTTTCTTCTCATCAAGGCTTCTGATAAAGTTTTTCATATTTGTAAACTTAGTTTTCTTCAATGTCCTACTGCAAATTGTTTCCTGCAATCAAATATTTTGTGCATTTTAGTTAACACCCAGATGATGCACTTCACACAGTATATGGGACTCCATATCCAGCACCAAAGCTGAAAACATGGAAACTGAAGAAAGCCTCAAGAACCTGTAAGTAACCACTCAAAGTGCAAAATAACTTCAGGAGTTTTCTTATTTTTTGAAGTTTTCGAAGTTTAATCAAGGGAAAAGAATTATGGCACTGCAAAATTAATTATTATTAATTATTAAAAAGTAATAATTGCTTAGCAGACTTTGGTAAATGGTTTGATATTTTAATTGGCCTCAGTGTAAGTCAAGATTGGACACTGACTGATTTTAAGGAAGCTATTCAGAGACTTGGAGAACAATGTCTGGAGACACATGGACATGCTGCAATCTCATATTGGCTGAGGAATTTCTGCAAAACTTACAGTAACTGTCAAAAGAAAGGAATCTCCCAGTAGGCATCAAAGAAGCACCAAAGCATATTGTAGAAATACATTCCATTTAATTTGTACCATCCCTTGCAAATTCTGTATTGAAGATCTCCCTCTTATGAGTGCCACTGCAAGTTCTGTTATCTACAAGCTCATTAATAGATATTAATCTACTTTCAGTTACAGAAATGTAATGCAGACATTGTCTTTCAATACAAACCTTTGTCAGGATTATTTAGCTGGAAAATATCAGGATGCTCTGGGTCATCAGGCAGTGCCACCATCCAGCCCACAATGGAGACTTTTTTCCCAGGTGTAGATTTATACTGGAAAAGACACACAAGTCAGTGATAGCTGAGACTGTAGCAGAGAATAACTTTTTACTGCAGAAGTTGTGCAGAAATATGGCTTACCCTGAAACAGAAAGTACAGTTTGGATGCCTTTCCAGATATACTTATGAGTATTCAATATTTGGTTTTAAAATAAATTAAAAGCTTACATGTTTTCTTTCAGTGCCTCTTAAAGCTTTTGCTCCAAAGTACAGAAGAGTTGATCCTGAAAGCATGACCCAGTATCTAGTCCACGAGGAGAGCTGAATGGAAAAGGAAAAAAAAAAAATAAAATAGGAAAAATTCTGCATATCTCTGACATTTCAAAAATCTATTCACAGGCAAGTCCAAGTGCTACCAAAGTTAATTTCAGAAACAAGGAATGAAGATAAAGAGTGTCTCCTTGTGTAAATCAGCCTAGCTACCTAAATCTTGATGGCTGCCTGAGAATACAGTCCTTCTTAGTTGGGTATCTCATAAAAGTATCAGTACTAATTGTTTAGAGAATAGTGTTATGCCTTCTGCTGTACAGATCTTAGACTCTTGATGAAAAAAAAAAGAAATTACTGAGTTGACAACTGTGCAATTCTTCACACCTTCTAGCTCTGAATTGAACTGGGTTGCATGTGAAATACATCAATCAACTCTACAGAAAACAAATAAATTATCAAATGCATAGGACTAGAACCATGTGAAACCCCTGAATTCAGGTTAGAAATGAATTGCCATGACTTTGGTCCTATGGGTAGCTGCCCTGCAGCCTTTCCATTTTAATGCAGTACCGTAGAAGCACCAAAATATATTGTAGAAATATGTTCAATTGAATTTGTACCCTCCCTTGAAAATTCTGTATTGAAGATCTTCTTCTGTCTTTTATGAGTGCCACTGCAAGTATCTACAAATCTACAAACTCGTTAAAAGTTATTAATCTACATCCTGTCACAGAAATCTAATGCAGACATTATCCATCCTGCAATATCTGCCTTTGTCAGGGTTGTTTAGCTGGAAAGTATCAGGGTGCTCTGGGTCATCAGGCAGTGCCTCAAGATTTATTTCTGCCCTCACAACACTGCTTGCTAATTACACAGTTGCTTCACTCCTGCTCTGTTGTCACAGTTAGAAACATGACTTGCAAATGCAGGGAGAAGCAAAGTGGCTGTACAACAAATGACACACAAAGGTAACAACCTTGTTATAACCTGGTTACAACTTTGATCAGAAAATCACAATTGATAAAACCATTGTTTTGTGTGGTATCAAGCTGCAGGTTTAATCTAATCCTGAAAATTAAAACAGCCACTAATGAATTAGGACTGTAGGAATAATTATAATTACAATCACTTACAGTAGGTTTCTTGCCTTCTTTGAGCATTGTTTTTCTTCTTAATGGCCCTTCCATGGTAATGACTCCTGTGGAACCACCTGCTGTGCAGCTGCATGCACCTGTTGGGCTGGAGAGACAAAGCATTCCTCTATGTATTTGAGAAGAAAAATAAGGACGATAAGTAAGCAATATAATTTAGCTCTAAATACATCTATCCTGCACTGCTTTATGTATATTGTGTCATCTGATATGTGACTCTAGATTATGTGTTTCCCTAGCCTAGCTATCAAATAGGAACCAGGAACTTTCAAGAAGGTTCTGTTCTGGGGGCATAGACATAAAAAAATAAAACAGAATAAATACTGAAACCCAGAGTCAAAGGGAAAACAGGCAATTTTCTTTTTTATTCTGGTAAATTACAGAAATTACCTGAATTTCTGGAAATTTTTGGCTTACAGTTTTGGCAGTAAGAGTTCCCACAAATGTTATTTTACATAAAATGAAAATACCTTGCCTAATTGGAAAAGAGTTGGGAAAACTACATAAAAATAAATCAAAAAATTATTAAAAGTAAGTTAAGTCATTTATTGTACAGAGATTACAATAGTTTTTCCGTTTCCAGAATGAACATAAAACTTCCCACATACAACACTGAGAAAGAGATACAACTGATAGAACCCAAACACAAGCAGTTAGCACTGTTGACTCACATGAGTCAAAGATGGCCTTCATGAGAAATCTGCTTCTGTAAAGGTTTCATGAAACCCTAAGTAAAGCCTAGTTTTCTGCAAAACGGAAACCAGACATCATTAGTTAAATCAATAGCTAAACTGAATTTCATGTCAATGGGCCCAAACCCTGCTTTAGCTTTAATAGGAGTTTTTACAAGCAGGATGGGGACACTTCATAAATTGTTATGGTCATACAACGATATTTGGACACAAAGTACATTACACTAGGAAGACATAAAGACCTAAATTGAAGTTTAGCATCATACAATGAAAGAGGCAGACCCTGAACTGTACCTGTATACACAGCTTCGACTCCGAGGAGAATTCCGGATTGGTACCCTCCAGTTAGGCCCCAGTGTGGCATATAAACGACCCCTGTTTGTGAATGCAAATATCTGATGAGGGATATTCTAGTTCGAGACTTCAACAGTTAGGGTTTGGTAAACATGACAGATAGCTCCCAATCTTTTCAGGTTCAATACCTTTACAGTGCTTTATTTTAAAATGTTTGCCATTTTTTTCCTAACTAATCAATAATTTGATAAAAGTAACTATTGATTTAGGGCTTACCTATGTTAGGGATCATTTGTGAATTTCTTAGCTAAGTCTGTAGAGTGCTCAGTGAGTGTACATGAAGACTAACTCACCTTTCAAGCCCTGACGGCAGCTCCTCACTAAATTCTGAGCTTTCACTGCTATCTAGAAAGAGAGTAGTACAGAGAAGGAGTAAGAAAACCACCCATGGGAAAATACAAAGCCAATGTATGTGGATCACCAGAATACTCTTTTATATAGTATCGTGGACACCGCTTACTCAAATCATGTTTTGAAAAAGAAGGGTTCAGAGTTCATGGTAAAACCCGTAGCTGGAAGAGGCTTACATAAGCCACTCCATTTACAGTATCTCACTGTTAACTTATGTTACTGCTGTGTTTTCATACCATTATTTTAATTTTCATCATGCTTCTACTTCAGAAGCTGAGCACTTCAGGTACATAAAATCTAGCTCCTCTGCAAGACAATATTTCTACCATAATGTTCGTTGATTGAAGTTATTAGGTATGGTGTCATGGTTTATTTTCAAGACACCAACACACCCCTAATAGAGGATATGTCAGCTATATGCTGCTGCTAGGAGTTATTAAAATATATATATGACAATATTAATAACTGAAGTTCCTATTTCTCCTTCAAGCCCACCACCCACTTGTCCCTCCTTTTCTGGCACAACTATTTAGCTCAGTTTTAATTTTCCCAGGACTGATCTTCTAATGCTCAGTTTTAACACAGTGAGCTGTTGCCTGTATTTTCAGAAATACAAAGATCATCTCAGTGTCTAACTTGGTCAAGTAATGTGCTTTCTTTCACAGTGTATTTCCTATTCTAGATATAGCCTGAGTCTCTTAAAAGGTGACTTTCTCCTGCTTAGAACACAGATTCTTGATCACTTTTCTGATATTGTAATAATTTTTAGTTAATTATAATAACATAATGTGTTCATTTTATCTTTCTTTTTAAGTCTCAGAGAGTACTGCCAAACAATTCTTCCATCTTCTAAAACATATAGTCAAAATTAAAGCTTTCTTTGTGTAAAGGTAGCTTTTAAAATATATATCCACTTTTCCCCTGGTAAAAGCTGATGAACACTTTGTGTCACACACGGAGCATCTACAAAACCAATCTTCTTTCATCCCACTTTTACCAAAAGCATCAGTGGATAATTGAGGAAAGCTGAGGTAACATTAACCAGGCAGCAGTCCTTATCTAATTTCATCCATGAAAATAATCAGTCTTTGCATGGGAACTAATGATCTTCCTAGTTTTCTACTTTCAGCTGTGTGTGAGGCTGCAGCGCCGTGGGACGGGCACGGGGCTGTGGCTCTGCACGCACACGGTACCTCTGGAGAGCCCGTTGGCGAGGCGCGTGCCGGGCGGGTGGCCGTGCGCGGGGCTGTGACACTCCAGGACACTGTCATCCAGCAGGTGCCGCGGCCGCTCTGTCGGGAAGGTGGCGCTTTTGCTCTCCACGACGCTCAACTGACACATCATACTGGAACATGGAAGATGAGAAAAACATTAAACCCCTCTTATGTCATATAACAGCAATCCTTGGCTCGCACTATTTCCACTCGGCCTCTGCCTCATCAGCAGGATATTAAGGAGCAGGCAATTATACACTACCACTTACTGTACATATAGATGCTCCTTTACTACCAAAATGAGTTTCAGATTTTACTTCTCTTTGTCAGTAACAATTATTAAATTTCTGCAGCTGGAAACTTGTAAATGTTTTGACTCCTGTCCATACAAAACCTGAACATCCTTGGTGGCAGCAAAAGCAAAAACCCAGAAAAAGAAGACATCAGGAATCCAGAGACCAAAGTGGAAAAGGAATTTTCAAGTATTGCCAGTGTCTGGCACTAGCAGAGAATAGAGTCAGCAAAAATAACAAAGTGTCAAGAGAAAACCTAGAGAATACATAGTAAAGCCTAAACCACTCTTGCAATACAAGAAATGGAAAGGACAAATGCTGGCATTTTCTCTGCTGCTATCTTAAATTTTTATGACACATGTAACTGCCTAAGCATGAGATAGCTGGGATTACGCACTTGTTTCCCAGGCTGTGACTCTTCCGGTGCCTTGGGACGGGAGGCGTAGGTAGACTTGCTGCTACTGAGGCATCAGGACATGTGGGTCTCCTGCTGAATTTCATAATTGCTGACAGCTCAGATGGACCTAAAAGACAGAGATTACTTAACACTGAACTGATGCAAATCCCAGAAATTTAATTGGCTGGTGCGTTTAGGAACTGATTAAAATTAATTTTTACAGATAACCAAAGGCACCATTTCTGAAGCACTGTTTCTTGCACATTAGGGTTAGGGCTACACCATCCATTTTTGTTATTAATCCATCTCCATTATCTTGAACTCCCTGGAGTAATTTTTAAAACAGTTTTGCTCATACTTTTAATAATGCACTAAAAAAACTCTTGGCATCCTTATAACAGCTGGCTATGCCAAAGTGCAAATATGCAGAGCCATAAAGTCAGTTTGTACTTCAGGTGTGAACAGGAACATTCACAGGTGTTTGTTCACACCTTCATGTTGTGAATAAACTGTAAACAATCTGCTCATACTGACTCCCAGCTTGAGCATGTAAGAGAAATCAAGGGCTTTTCATATTCCTAATGGCCAGACTCAAACATCTATGAGCTCTAGAGATGTCTCATTGCAATCATTCCTCCTCTCAATTTACAGGTTTTTTGAGGCCTCACAGAAAACATAGACAAACTGGTTTTGCAATACAATGGAAATACAGTGACCTTTGCAATACAGTGGAAAACACGGACTATCATCATCCTCGGTAAACGCCAGGCTCTTCTTGGCTTCACAGCAAACAGCTGAGATTTCTTTTTTAAACATTTAGTTGTGGCATTGGTGCTTGTGATGAAAGTGGGAACAGTGGTCATGAAAGTCGTCATCTGACCCACATCTTTCCCCTTGGGACAGTCCAGGTACCAGCAGAACAGACTTCCCTCTACATTACAAAAATCACTTCTTGGAGGCTCCAGAAACCTCAGCTTAGCCAGCTTCTGGACTCTAACCAAAACCCACCCATTAAGAAGTTGACACAAGAAGAAATTTTGTGACATGAAAAGCCATGTACAATCATCATCAGAGTCTTTACAAAAGTGTCTGGCATCAAATAAGTAATAAACTGAAACAGAAAAAAACCTCAGAACCAACCCAAAACACCAACATTCCACGGCACAGTTTGACAACAGGATGTGAACATGAACTTCTTACAGAAATGGTTCTGAGAGACAAGATTTCCCAGGAAAGTGGTCATGGCACCAAGCCTATCAGAGTACTAGGCATATCTTAGTGATATAATTTAGTTTTATGTGGCCCTGCAACGAGCAGGAAGCTGGACTCAATGATCCTTATGGATCTCTCCCTACTTGAGACATTCTGTTTCAATTTGTAATATAGGCTACTCTCTCTACCCTGATATCAACTTCTTCTGCCTTGAACTGAGGAGGATTCATGAGATACAAGAAGAAATAGGAGAACCAGTAATGAGTTTGTCCCAGTAAGAGGCAAAAAAAGATACAAATAAACGCAAGATGCTTTCTTGTCCATACTCACTCTGCAAAATAGACTTATAACAAGTTGTATGAAATACAAAAATTAATTCTAAATTACTTGTATTTTTATTTTCCCATAGCCCAGACTCTGGAATTTGACCGTGAACTGGATTGTAACTAGGAAAAATTGCAAAGTGTTTTCTCTAGCAGTAAGGGGAAATATTTAATCCACATAGTGTTCTGCACATTGGAGCAAACAGTTCATTATGCTGCTTTTTAATAATGAAGGGAGCCCCATGACAAGCAAAAAGACAAAACTCCTTTTAGCAATACAGAGAGGAAGGAGGGACAAATTTGTTAGAGGAACCTTCAGTAGTATTATTCATCAGACCATCAATTTAGTAGAACAAAGACAAAACAGTTTTTAAGCCTGTTTTCTGCCTCATTCATATATACCATCAGGACAGCATTTTTGCCTGCCTGTCTTTGCTACCATCACACAACTGTGAATTTGTGAAACACAATAGTCATAGCATCAGTCACTGGCATATGCAGCTTCAGATAAGGTCTTACACCTAATGGCCATGTGCAGTTTTAAAAAATGAACTTTATGTCATTACTTCATCCGGAGATTCACCTAGAGATACGCATCTGGGACGTTGGAGGGGCCAAGTACAGCGTTCTTGCTGCCCATACAACTAAAATTTTGATCCATTTGGACTGTAACACAACATTGGAAGCTTCTTCCCTAAAACCAAAGTAGTTAATCTTTCATTTCTGCCACAGAGGCAGACAGGGACAGAAAAAGTATGACTGTGAGTACAATTATGTGTTGCCTTGTTTAATGAAAAAACTGTATGGATTCATATTTCACCACTAGGTCAGAAAAATCTTATCTGCTGCATTAGTAGCAAGAATATACATTTCACTGAAGTCTTTTACCACAGGTTTTCATTACAAAATTAAAATTTATGCAGAGACAAAACAAATGCCTTCAGAAGTTTCAGAAATTATTACAAATTCTTTAGTTTGAAAACCTCCAGTTCTTCTGATGGACTAGGTTCCCAAAAAAAAGAGTTTGCTCTACATGCTTTGTTTGCAGTGCCTTTCCATCAACTTGTGGACAGGAAAATACTTAGGACTATTGAGGTATTTATTACCTGCTAAGAGCCTAAAATATATTGGAACTGAAACCCATGCTAAAGACAGTGGCAGCTAAAAGAGAATTTCCCTGAAAATTATGAGCATTTCAGCAAGAGTTTAATTTGAAACTCAGCATAAACTTCAGTGCTAATGTGCCCACTCTAAGACTTGTCCCTTAATTTGCCTGCAGGATTTGCTCATTTTTATATTGCTTCCTGCTGTGTCATTCAGGTGTTTCTGGTGCCAGTCCTCAACCTTGATTTACATTGTTTTATTCAAGTGGGTGATGTTAAATTCTTTTAAGTTCACTGAATGCTATTAAAGTATTCATTTTAACAAGCTACTGAAAACACAGCCTGTGAAAGAGCAGCAATCTTAAGGCACAGGCCTAAAGGATTACCAGTACAGTGCAGTGCTTTTTCACACAGACATTGCACCACACATAGAAATAACTGTTACATTTTGTAACATATAATAGTTTAAACGTTTAAGTTTCTCACCATGGAGAATCAGAGACCTGAAAGCAGTTTGATTAATTTTGTTCCAAAACACTGATATACAACAAAACAAAAGCATGAGACTGCATCAAAATTACTTTATCACAAAGAACAGCAAAATAACAAATCCAGTGCTGACACAATCAAGCCATTACAAAATGAAAGTTGGCTGGATTTGACTCCAGGTAGGTTCAAATGTTACTATCAAAACCTACAAAGAGTAAGAGATATTATCTAACAAGAATTAACTATTTGAGACTTTTCCCTCTATACTCCCTTTTTTTTCTCCCTCTCTTTAGGGAGCATGGACTGAAATTTACTATAATATGATTGCAACACAAAACTATTTCAAGATTCATCATTATAAAGATGACAATTGCTTGATATAAGTAAGAGCTTTTATTACCTGGACGGCTTTAGAACAGAAAAAGTCTGTTAAACTGCCCCCCTTCCCCTAAAACAAATGATGTAGAATGTCTAAGAATGTCTCCACATCTCAGATTATAATATAATATAAGGGAATATTATAAATAATATGAAAATAATATTAGGAAATAAAATTTCAGTTCACATAAAAATATTGCCAGGCTTAAGGTGTGATGTGTCAAGGGTGACAGAATTTATAGAAATGGGTATAAGAGTCTTACAACTTAAGATAACAGTCCAGCTTGGCTTCCTTGATTTTATATATGGCAATCACAATTGCTTGCATCAGTCCTGTGAAAGAAGGAAATGTACTTGGGTTGACAGACCACTGGAACAGGCTGCCTAGAGAGCTTGTGGAGTTGCCTTCACTGGAGGTATTCTAGAACCATCTGGCCACAATCCTGTGCCATGTGCTGTAGGATGACCCTACTTGAGCAGGGAGCTCGGACTAGATGACCCACTGTGCTCTCTTCAAACTATGCTGTGATTCTGTGACTTACTCAAATTCTTAGTTAGGTATCTTCAGTGAAGATCCCAATGGTAGAAAACAGAATGCTTTGTGGGATCAGATGAAAACAGAAATATCATTTGTGCATTTTCAATATTTGAGTATTTTCAATATAGTTCTGCATCCTCCTCTTCTTCAAGATAAGAAATTTATACAGTTTAGCTTTGTTAGCCCTGTGCTGAGGTATTAAGAATCTGAACTTAAACATCTTTACAAAGTCTTTGTTTCTGCTCTGCTGCCAAATGTCTATGAAGAAGAATGGTGAAGTTTATAGAATTCTCCTCAGCTGGCTACACTCAGTTCAGCAAGGAATCTGGGGTGCAGTGAGTGTCAGCATGAGTTATGGGGCTGAGGGCAGATGACCTCGTTTCTGTAAAGGCGTAAGAGACAAAGCGAGCCCATGCCAAGAAGGATGCCAAAGAGGGTAAGCAGTGAGATACTGATGAAAACTGCACAGCCCAAGGGATGTTTATGGACATACCAGACTGCTGAGCAATTAGCTAGGGAAGTTATGCCTGATACTGCTGATAACAAAATTCCAATACTTAAATTCATTTGGGATTGAGTTATTTTGCCCCTTTTTTCCAATAAGTGAAGTCATCTGCTACTGCTAACTCTTGTCTTTACTCTTCTGGCTCCACTCCTAGTGCATACTGTTACCATGATTGCTATTCTGTTATTTTGCCTTTCATGGAGACAAAGCACTCTTAGCAGGATTTTCCAGTCAGCTGGCATGAACAAGGGTTAGTTTGGTTTTCATTATTTCTCAGCATCATTTTCAAGATTATGCTGACATGCACAGGAATGATGTATAAAAATATAAAAATGTTATTAAAAATTTTGTTTGCATTAGGGAACGTGAGACAACTTCATCAGAGCGAGCCGAGTGCTGTTCCTAGATCTGTGGCAAGAACATTTGGAAAAGTTTACACATATCCCAAAGGATCTCACTGTTTTTTCCTTTGCATAATTTTTCCATGAATAATCCTTCAAATGTTATAAATGAATGTTACTTTTGCAATCCTTCAGTAAAACATGTGAACATTTACAGTTTCCAGAGCTTTTAAAAAAA